CTCTCTCTCTTTCTCTCTGGCTGTGCCCGCACGCCCTGCAGGCACCTTGTCAGTCATTCTTGGAACTCGTTCTTGGCTGAGTGTCAGCGGCGTGTTTCCTCCCTCCTGCCTTCTCGCTTGCACCTTTTTACTCCTGCTATGTTAAGTTTAGTTATGTATTTTTATCTGTTTGTTTCTGCCTTTACCTCCACACGATTTTCCTTTTTTTTTACTTTGTCTCTTTCCTCATAAATTCTTTATTCCTCTCCTTCCCTCGTGTTTATCTTCCTCCTGACCTCTCTGTCCTTCCATCTTTTTTGCTCTTCATTCTGTCTTTACTCTGCTCCCTCTTGGTCCACTTTTCTTTCTTTCTTTCTTGCCATATTTGACTTATTTGTCATTGTCAACAAAAGAATGATCTAAATCAGATGAGAAATCTTCTAAAGAGGTGACAAAAAAGAGGCAGTGTGCTCATCACAGTTAGGTCTAATGAGGAAGGACATAAAAACAATCATGCTTGGCATATGTGCCAATCTATCTTTCAACACTGTTTTGAAGGAGACCTGCCAATCACAGGAACTGCTGGCACTCATTTAATTTTTGGAGAACTTAACCTCTCTGGCACCAACACGAGCTACAGCCTGTACTGACAACACCTCTATAAACAATGCCAGGCCCAACTCAAGTAATACTCTGAGGTGAGGTTGTCTTTACACTTTGAATGTGTTAATACATGGGAACTGATACTGTGTATATATTACATGAGTGTTACATTTTAAGAGATGAAAATAATGTGACCACAGCTTTGTGTGACCACGGATCCAAGGATCGTTTTGCAAGAGAAAAAGAAGGAGGAATAAAGGAAGGAAGGAAGGAGGAGGGGTAGAAATGAGAGGGGTTGCTCTCCTGGGTGTAGCAAAATTACCCACACATCCCACTTCCTTTTTTCCATAATATCATTTAAGCCTGATAATAGCAAAAGCAATTTGTCTGAGCATGTTTGTGTGTGTGTGTGTATACACTGTGCGGCAGTCCGTACAGTATGGGTGTGTGTGTGTGCGTGTGTGTGTGTTTGTGTGTGACAGAGCAGCAGGAGAAGCCTCTGGTTGTGTGGGTCGGGCACACCTCAGAGCATTGTAATTACAGCAGAAGCTTTGAAGTGGTGGAATGTTTTAGTTGGAATAATCAGCAGGCTGTGCTGCACTCACACACTATTTACATTCCCATTAAAACACTCATTCACACCATCATACCAGCAAATTTTATTATCTATACTGGGTACAAAATTTGGTAAGTGACATGTTAAAATGTAAAATGTAATGGGTTAGTGTTTTTGCAGTACTGTCACTGCATGTAAATTTATGTAATCCTGTGTAGTATTAGTTGGCAGTTCCTTTTTTTATTTTCCTTCTTCTCATTCTGAGCTCTTTTTAAGACCTGGAAGCTGTGAAGATGAAAACAAACCTAGCAGATCTCTCATTCCTGTAGGTTTAAAATAATACATCTGTTTATATATTGAACAATGGATGAGCTTTTCAGTCTTTTTAAAGTACACTCTTTGCCTTTATTAAATAGACTAGTAAACAGTAGAGATGTGACCGGAAATGAGGGGAGTACTTGGACTTGAACCAGGGATGTTGTTTCAGAAAAGCCAGTATTATCATAAGGATTCATAATAGCAAATTTCAGATTTTGGGCTGTAAAAATAAAATTTAATTGACTAGACAGCGTTAGCATTAACAGGCAGGGCAGTACATTTACCAGTATTCTCAAGAACTTGCTAATATCTAACATGTTTGCCAAAATATGTTGGATAAGTAAACACCTATTCCTATTTAATGCCTATAACACAAGAGTATTGTGCGGGTTTTCCGGCTGTTCTAACCAGGAAGTCATTTTGGAAACTAACCACAACTGTAGGGCCTATCAGATGTGGTTGATCAGTTTTATGATATTCATCAGAATTTTTTCCCAACATCAATATACAGTATATCCCTATATGGCAAATGTGTGCAAAACCAAATGCCACATGTATTAAAATGTGTTTCACTGTTACGCTGTAAGTCGTCTTACATTCTTCACACACATAAAAAAAAATCCTAATTTTAAGTGGTACTTTATTTTAAAACATTAGCTTAGACTACACAAATTAATAAAATGATTACACAATATTTTCATGACACAATTTCACTGAAATTTGATAAATGGACATTCTGTACATTAACACACATGTTGTATAAACGCAATTAAGTCACATTCTTCTCAGTAAGAGAGTAACTTGTCAAACCAGCAGGACATGTTGTAAAAAACTAACTGACACATACACACTCAATGTAATCATATTGTTTTCACACAGATCCAAAATAATCTTAGTACTGTCACTCACCCAACCCCTCTCTCTCTTTCTCTCTCGCTCTCTCTCTCTCTGAGTTTCCCAAGCCCTCAGAACCTCTGCCTGTAATGCACCTAAATAACTACCTTGAATGCTACAATGGCGCCAGGGCCAATTAGCTGTTAACACTGGAGACAGATCTATTCAGAAGCCAGAGAATGAGGCCTCCTGTAACGTGAAAGATTGATGCCCACTTTGCTAATGACAAGAGAAGGAGGCAATCTGTTGCTTGACTCAGCCCTGAGCTGTGTTACAGGATAGTCAGCTGATTACTGTGAGCCTGCAGGGGAGGACTACTGAGAAAACTGGGGATTGAGTATAAGTCAGGATAGGGGTTGAATGGAGGACATACATAAAGATACATTTCATAGATAAACATGCATGCTTGTAAATAGTTTTGGGCAAAATAATGATCTATAAAGTGAAATGACAGAAGTTTGTCAACCATAAGATTGTGCTGTACTTTGAATTAGCTATCCCTTTAATATTTGTGGTTTAGGACATTGCTGGCAATGCTGCAAAACAATGAGAAAGACAGCATTATGGCAATATTTGAGTTACACCAATTTTCTTATCAATGTTATGAAAGTACCTTGATTGATAAAGTGGTTAATTCTCTCTATTAGCCTTTATCATTTATTCTAGAAAATATACTGTATCACAATATACTGTATATATATACTGTATATATATAGTTGCCAGT